TACACATACCCCTGGCTGAGAACCACTTACCTAAGGTATGTCTACACAGCTCATGGAAACAAGCCTCCCAGCCCAGGTCAACAGACTCTGGGCTAGCACTCTAAAAATCAGTGTGAAAACATCACTTTAAAGTTGTGGCTCAGGCTGGAAGCTCAGCCTCTGAAACCTACTGAAGGGGGGGATAGGTTTCAGAGCCCAAGCTGCAACTTCAAAGCACTGTCTACATATTTTTAGAGCACCCCACAACCAAAATCTGTTGAGCCAAATTGGGGAGCTTGCAGAAGCAAGCTATCTATCCCAGGTGCTGTGGAGGAAGGAAAGGGCCTGACATCTACTCCAGCTGCAGCCAGATGCTCCCAGACCTATGCATGGGTCTGAATTAAGGGAGCTTCCCAGCTTCCCATGCAGGGGCTTAGGGAGAGACGGACATACTCCTCCCCATTTCCTGGCTCCATGCAGGAGCCTGGGGAAATCATGAGGTGTCTCTTCAGCAGTCACCCACATTATCAGTTCCTGTTATCATGAACTATACAGAAGTCTGGGTGAGTAACAGAGACTCCCTCATCTTCCCAGTCCACTAGCTCCCCCCCTCCCCCCCATTCAGTGGGCTGAGAAGCAGAAGCAAAGGCTTGCCTAGACCTCCCCCACAGTTTCTTTCTCTACTCCCCAGGCCTATGCAGCGGTCCCAGAAAGAGAAGATATCCTCCTGGCCCCAAACTCAGAAAAAAACCAACAGGTCTGTTGCTAAGTTACAAGTAAATACTGGGGAAAACCATGCATGTGAGCTCCCCCCAAAAACAGTTCATAGAGCAATGCAAATAATCACAAACAATACAGTGCAATTGACTATATGCAAAGAACTACAAATGCATAAAGTAACATTGAAAAAAATTCTTTCAGATATATTAATCTTAGGTGTTTCTTGTAGTAATAGTATGTAAATCATTCAGATGCAAATGTAATTCAAGGTCATGTTGTCCCTCTAATATTTTTATTTAAACAGCAACATTTTAATAGAAGTATTCCAGTTGGGTTGAAATTATTTCCTGTTATGTTATACATTATATCTGGCTTCTGACTAGTCAGTTTCAAAGCAGAAAGAAAAGTGGTTCAGTTTGCTAGTATTTTCCAGGTGACATGTCAATTCTCAGCAAGAACAAGCACTCAAATTAAGTTTGTTTGCACTAAAAGTTTGCGTGTCAAAAAAAGGGCTTCTTCTGAGTTTTCAGATTGCTGAAGTAAGCAAAATAGGTGGAGCTGTCTGATTAAGTACAAAAAGTACGTTCTCGTGTTACAACGTCTTCTACAACAACATACAAGAAAAATTAAGATACTGCAAATGAATATTTAAAACTAATTAGTAGGAATTTAAATTAAACATAGTAACTTCTTTAACAGACTGTCACAGACAAGAACATTAATGAAGCAAAAGATAAAAGTTTTAAATAACTCCGAATTCATTTGTATTTGAAAGCAATTCTTTATAAAGAATGACTTCCATATTGTGTAATACTATATTACTAGAGTTTAATAGAGAAATTAAGAACAGAGATCAGTATCATTTCATGTCCTATAATATGATTAATAGACCTTTAGAATTAAAAGTTCAGATGTTATTCCTATAAAACGCCAAACCATTTTTAATTTCACGGAGCTATTTACTCCTCTGTTAATCTAAAAATAGCAAGTTTCACAGGTAAACTGAATGTTTCATAAAGCATTTATTTTTATCTTCATTGCAAAATGTAGCTGATGGGGGACTTGGGCCAAAATGGTGCTTGATGATGGGTATGTAATATTTTCCTTAGTTTCACAGCCAGCAAACCACAGTCTACAAAATGGAAGAAATAATCCAGTCCTGATCTCCCAGCAATACTGTTCCAAAACAACCACAAAGGCAATGTTTTCCTATGAGTATTATACAATTTTGATGCAAAACTCATTATGGGTCATTCAGGGAGGCTGTTGTGGCCTCCCACACATACTTATTGACAACAAAGGCCATTTAGTGGAATTTACTCTGGAGTTTTATTAACATCTACAGGTACTGCCACCAAATTCAACTTTTAGTTTTAGATGAAAATAAGAGCATCTCCGCAAGACTCTCCTCTAAAATATTAGTGGCTTCTTTAAGGGACTGACAAACTAATTCAATTTTCCACCGCACTTCCCCAAATTACTGCTTCAAAGATTAGAGACAATAATATTCAAATAGAAAAAGAACAAAAAGGTCCCATGTTTGTTGAAATCTAACAAAATTATGGATTGATTTATAGGCATAAAAAATGAATCAGAACACCAGGCTTCCAAGGTAATTACCAAAACACTGAAAAGAAACACACTTGTAGAATAAGTGAGAACAAAGAAGTGGGTATTAGTTTGTGTGAGATTTCACTTTCTCCTAACTAAGTTCGCTATGAGATCTTTATTGTAGCCTCTTTCTTTAGGAGCCAGCAGTCTGCTGTCTTGTAGCCCTTTCATCTATCATCCATTATCTATTTTTTTTTAATCACAATAGCTTATATATGATCATGTGACTTCTTGATTTGGATCAATTACATCCAAACTCTTAGCAAACTGATAACATTCTGCCAGATAGTTTCTTGGCTTTTTAAAGGCCCATAGCAAAATCCCCAAACAGGGTTTAAATTTTCAAACACTTCAGAATCTTTCATAGTTCCATAAGTTTTAAAGCCAGAAAGGACCATTAGATCATCTAGTCTAACCTCCTGTATATCTCAGACCATAGAACTTCACCCAGTCAACCCTGTATTGTGCCCAATAATTTGTGTTTCAGTAAAACGTATCTTTCAGAAAGTCATCTAGTCAGGTTTCTTTCAATGGTTAATTACCCTCAGTGTTAAAAGGTTGGGCCTTATTCCAAAATTTTTTTACTGGAGAAAAATACTGATCTAACAATATTTCAATCTTACATCTTTGGATCTAATTTAGCTTATCATTAACAAATTAAACAAATAAGTGTTAATATGAGGATATCTGAAAGTGATTCCTCATGCACCATCTTGGATTTATCATTTTGATTCCCAAAATGTTGCTTTGATATGCATATCAGCATGAGTTAGTCTATATACAAAAGAGATCACCTGGTCATATAATTACACACCATTGAAAAACTTTTCAAGGGTAAGAGAAAACTTTCCTCTTCCCTCAATCTGCAAACCAAGATTACATTTGTACTTAGTTTAAACTGTAATAAAAACAAAACAAGAACCAACTGAAGATAAAATATAATTTCAAAAACATTTTCTTAGGTTATTTTGCAACTAAATTAATAAAAGTCTATGAATGCAATGAGAGAAAGGAGAACAGCACAACTCTGAGAGCCAGGAGATCTAGGTTCTAAGTCCGGCTCTGCCACAGATTTCCTTTGTAGCCTAGTTCATGCCACCTAAACATTTGTGCCTCAATTTTCTCATCTGTAAAAAGTTAATAACTATTGCATAAAGGTAGTGTTTCTAAAGTACTGTGATATCCTTTGGTGGAAGGATAACAATATTTATTAGCCATTTGTGAAGGTTTCAGAAGAGTCAAAACAAAGAAACTATGAAAGTTTCTATTCTTAACATGTCAGTTTTAGAGCTCAATACTGCCAGGTACTGCGAGACCATAACTTTAATGATAGAGGTTTAATTTAGTTCTTCTCAGGATCAAACCCTTGAGTCTTTGTGAATTTGTTTATCACCAACAATTATGATTATTTCTATTTGATTTGGGATTTATATTTTCATTTGTAACAGACTGACCTTATCAAACAACAGGGCCATCCCTAGACATTCTGGTGCCCTACGCAGCCCCCCCATGGGTGGCTGGCCTCAGCGCGGTGGGGCTGCACCCAAAGTCTGTGGGGGACAGGAGCAGGCTTGAGGTACAGGGGGGAACAGTCCAACAGCATGAGCGGGCGGAGCAGGTTGGGGCCAGGTCACTCCACTTCCTGACGCCTGGTGATTGCAGGGCGGGCCCGACCCCACACTCACGGGGCCGCAGGAAGTGGAGTGACCCGGTCCCAGCCCACTCCGCTCCCCTGGCTCCCAGACTTGGGGGTCTGGGGGAATCGCCCCCAACACTCACCAGCGGCGCGGCTGGGAGCCGGCAGAGCAGAGTGGGCTGGGGCCAATCGCTCCACTTCCCACCGCCCCAGGAGCTCAGGGGAAGGGGTGGAGTGGGGGCAGGGCTGGGGCGGAGCAGGGGTGGAAAGAGGCAGGGTGGTGCCCCAAATGTCCTGGTGCCCTACGCAGCTGCATATTTTGCATATGGGTAAGGATGGCCCTGTTAATCAAGATTATAGTTCAAAAATAAGCTTCAGAGGAGAAAGCATATTTTAAAAGATCTTGATATTTTCTAACAATCTTAAATCTGATTTTTTCCCATACTAATCTTGTTTATTTTTAGTTGGCAAACATGTGAATGATGCTTGATTTTGTATTAACAAGACTGGCATAATCACAGCCCTTGTAACATCTGACAAATATATTAAAATAATATTTCAGGCATATATTGAGTCCCAGAGGTACTTGTGTCCCAACAATAAACCCACTTTTCATTGTGAAAGCTTGCACTGGAATTCATTTGCAAAAGGAGCTGATTATGTTCAAGAGACAGCACTTCTCCCCATGTAAAAACGTTAAGTTCTTAGTAGATAACTTCCTTTATCAGTGTTATATACTCGTTTGATACAACTAAACTGTGCCGGTATTTTGGTTATGTCAAATTATATAAAGTTATTCAGAAGTTAATACTATTTTGCAGCTAATAATCTTAAGAACTTAACATAGTCATTCTATTAACGGACTGAACATCACAACAGTCTAGAGAGTCAAAAACGAAAGCTTTCCTGTGTTTAACAGATGAAGATGCACTACAGCCTTATGGGGTTTTTTTCCTGCATCACGATAACGCCAGTTACAAATGTGAGGCATTCTAAGACGCTTTAAAGATAAGAAGTTGGAGAGGTGTTTGCTGAAAGGGGCATTGACTCTTACCTGAACATTGCTTAGGATAGACGCACTCTTCTCTCTCACGTCTCTAAAGGGGCATCTCTTGGAAAGCATGAGCAGGCGAGCCAGCATCTCATTCAATCTTTCCAGAGCTGTAGCAGAAGCCAAGTGTCCTTCCGATGACTCAGGAGGAGGATCCTCCTTTACAGGAGAAATTTGTGTTGTTCTCCTCAAAACAGCTTGCCGGATGTTTTCCAAGGCAGCGTCTCTGGTGCTGGCATCCCTGCTGCACAGCCCATCCCACCTCACTTCTCCCTCCTCCATCCTCCCTCGCTCTCTGATCGGCTCCAGGCCGCCCAAACCTTCACCAGCTTCGCCTCGTGTAGAAGTAACACCACCAGTTCGCGAAGAAAAATAAAGTGCGGGCCCAGCCCATGGATGTCACCACCAGCCCGCGGATGTCCCCCACTTTGTCAGTTCTCGCCCTCAGAGCCGTCAAGCGTCTCGCCTCCCCGGGCAGATGCTGCTCTCGGCGCAGGGGGCCCGGCCTCCCCTCACCATGGCAGAGCGGGGGCGGGAGCCGGCAGGTGAGGAGGGCTGCGGAGCTTTGTTCTTGCTGGAGCCTGGGCAGCCCCCCGCGTCCCGGGCAGCGAAGGTCCAGGCAGGGACGAGGGAGATTTCCAATCAGCGCGCAAGGCTCGGCCGCCGCTGCTGCTGCAGAGCCAGGAAGCTTCCCATAGGGAGAAGCGGGGGGGGGGGGGGAAGAGACGCTGCTACCACCCAGGGCCCAGAGGACACGTCCCGGCTCCGGCGGTTCAGCCCCAGGGTGAGGGCGGCTCCCGGCCTCAGGGCAGGGTGCAGGCAGCGACGCAGTCCTATCCCGGGAACCGCTGGGCGCTCGGGCCAGCTCCCCCTCGACGGCGGCGGCAGCCGGAGCGATCTACGCGGACCCCGCCCCCTTGTGCTCCGGGCTCCGCTAAGAGAACAGCGAGCGCACGCCCCGCCCGGCCCGGCCTCCCGCAAGGACAGCACCCTTGTCTAACTAACTGTAAAATCCCAACCCGTCCCGTTGCCGCTTGGTGACAGACAAGCCCTTTCAGCCAATCACGGTTCAGAGGCATAACTCGGAGCCAATCACGATGACGAAGAGACGGAGAATCGTGCTAGGGAGCCGCTCTCTGTTGCGAGGGCTACTGGGATTTGTAGTCCAGCCGAACTCCTGCGCCTGTTGAATAAAACTACAACTCCCAGCAGGCAATGTGCCTAGCCCATTGCGAGGAAGAGGGCTGGGTATTGGGTAATAGTTGCCCTGATTCTGTTGTGTCAGGGAGATCACAAGGATCAACGCAAATCCATTTCCAGTGCTCCTACCTCCTCTATACCCAGTGTCATGGCAAGGGTCAGGTAGACAGGGCTTTATCACATTGGACAAGACACTTTACCTTTCTATGCCTGTGTCCTCATCTCCACCTCCGCTCCCCCCCCCCCAAAAAAACAAACCTCTTGTGTGTCTGATTGGTTTGTAAACAATTCAGGGTAGAGAATGCCTCTTACTGTGTATTTATAGAGTATTGTCCACTCCTGCAATTTTTGTTGTTTTCTTGAAGCCCAAACTCCTGGAATCATGTGATTATGTAAGGCTCTCAGCTTTCATTAAAAAAGAAAAGATTCTAACCCACATGGTTAGGGAGGAAAGCTTGGAAACATTAATTCTAAATATTTAAAAACTAGAAGGTGAATAACCTAATATATATATATTTAAAAACGTGATTTATAAACCAATTTCATGATTTTTGGGTCCCGACTCAGGATTATGAATGCTTAGGATTGGCAATACACTACAGTTTTACAATGGGATAAACCTTGTTATTGTTATCTGAATTAAAATCTTGTTAAGATTGATGTGTGAATGTGCCCTTCATTTAAGATTGCTATAAGGAACAGTTAAAGGGCCCACATAAAATGCAAAATGGAGTCTGCCTAGAAAGTAGGACCATATGGCCAGAAGATTCTATGTATTGTTCTGACCAAGTAGGGATACGTGTGGGAAAAAGTATAGCTGGGAGGGCAAACAAGGAACTGGCAGAGACTCAGAGGCAGCAAGAAAGCCAAGCAGCAGCCTGTAAGTATGGCCCTAGGAGAAGCCTAGAGAAAGATGCCTTGGCTGTAAACTGCCTTGGATGTTTGTTTGTTGCCATGATTGAAACTGGTCTTGCATGTTTTGTTTCTGATTTTTCTTCTCAAAAGTCCAGTATACAAAAGGAGAATGTGGTTCCTGTTATCCAAAGGTTGCTGAATCTTCAACAGTGGGATGATCATGGGGGGGAAATTGGTGGTGAGTCTTTAAAATTATGTATTTCTATACAATCCCATTTCATGGTCTCTTAGTTACATGATAGAAAATCTACCCCATCTACTGGATAGCTTAAGAAGTATCCAGGGGAGCATGTTCTATGAGAAAACTTTTGGGGGGAAAGTAGTCTGTTTTAGAAACAAATTCTAAAGAAATAGTGAGGCCATCAGAAAGCAAAATAAAGCTGTTTCACCTGCCTGTAGCAGCAAGTTGCAACATCTAGACTCATCTTCCAATAGTCTCATTAAATATTTGAGACTTCAAAGGCAAAAACTATGCTGCTCTAAAAGATCTTATCATAGAAGTGTAGGGCTGGCAGGGCCCTGCATTAGGGAGGACCAAATATACCTAGACCCTCCCTGCTAGGTGTTTGTCTAGCCTGTTCTTAAAAACCCCAAATGATGGGGATTCCACAACCTCCCTTAGAAGCCTATTCCAGAGTTTAACTATCCTTATAGTTAGAAAGTTTTTCCTCTTATATATGACATTCCTATTAATATACCTCAGAATAAGTCAGTACTAGGAATAACTAGTCCCTAACTCATTAGTTCTTCATTATAATTGTCTTTACAAACCACCTACTCTTAGGGGCTTCTCTTCATTGGCAATTTACAGCACTTCAACTTTCTAGCTCGGGGTGTGGAAAGAACACCCGCTTGAGCACAGCAAGTTTCAGCGCTGTAAAGCGCCAGTGTAGACAGTGCCCCAGCACTGGGAGCTACGCCCCTCGTGGAGGTGGTTTTATTAGAGCGCTGCACTGCAACCACACAAGGCATGTTAAAGCGCTGCCATGGCAGCGCTTTAGCATTACTAGTGTAGACTAGCCCCAATATGTCTTTCTGTTTGCTATTGCACTTCTGATTAATATAATTGTTTAACCCTTTTGTTATTACCACAGCCCTCCCACATGAAGATGGTTTCTCTCTTATTTTGAATGAGAACTGATTCCCATCCCCCCTAACATAGAATATTAGGGTTGGAAGGGATCTCAGGAGATCATCTAGTCTAACCCCCTGCTCAAAGCAGGACCAATCCCCAGACAGATTTTTGTCCCGGATCCCTAAATGGCCCCCTCAAGGATTGAACTCACAACCCTAGGTTTAGCAGGCCAATGCTCAAACCACTGAGCTACCCCCCCCCCAACATGTGAGCCTTAATTTACTAATGAGGCTCAGGAGCTCCCAAGCCTAATTATTTTCTCCTGCTTACCAATCTGCCAGGATACTCAGACTTTCCTCACACTCCAGAAGGCTTCCAGTACTGCTTCTGCTCTAATTGGCAAATGCAAATTATTGTGGGGTGAAATAGAAGAGGGCCAGGTGAGTAAACAGCAGATGGAAGATAGCATGGTGATATCAGTAGCACAGCAGGCCTGAATGCTAGAAAACAAACACAGTAGGAAAGGAGATATTTATATTTTTCTGCTGGGGGTGATGTGTGTGCTTAAATGCCAATCAGCTTTAAGAGTATACAGCACCTCTTAGGAGTGGGCCCTAAGTATTAGAGGAAGAAATTAAATAGAGCTTCTAATGAGTGGGAAGAAACTGCTCCTTTATTTCATTGCAAATAACATTTTGTTGCTAGTGAATGCAGAACAAGATATGCAAAAAAAGGGGATTGGAAGAAGAAGAAAAAATAATTGAGAGAGGAGGATGAGAGAGAACAACGGGGAAAATAGATGATGGAAATGGGAGTGATTGGAGGGAGGAGTTATGAGAAGGATTTATTAGGAAGAAGAAACATGGTATTTTATTAATGTATATGCTTGTTCTTTGTAGACAACTCTTATTTCCTCATTGAGTGGGGTTATATTTAATTATTGAGTGATTTAAGGAAATTTAACTGTGGATAATGTATCCTAGTCTATCCTATGTCTGTCTAGTTGCATGCTAATATGGCAATTGCTAATAAATCTAAGTTTGTAACCTAGTCCCTGTAACTGCTAAACTCAACTCTTAGCTGTGTAGAAGAGTTTCACTTAATTTACTTGAATGCTATTTTCCTACAGCCCCTAGGACCTGATTTTATGAAGTACTTATGACTGAAAAACCATACTAGATGTGGAATTGGGCCTATTGACTTCAATTACATAGCAAAACTCTAACTTAAATGGGTGGAGGATTTGGCTCAATGGATACCTCATTGGATATCTCACAGGATTGGGACCTTAGTTCCAAAAAGATTACTTTACAAAATATTTGGTTTCCTCAACATTAGTTATTTCCCAGCCTTATTTCAATATATCTAATGGTAATTCACTCTTTCCCCCTCCCCCTTAACTTTCTTTCTACTAAGAGAAAATTGTAAATCTAATTATCTTTTTTTTCTCCCCAAGAGAAGTTTTGCATGAGTCTTTTGGCTTAAGAATGAAGGGGTTTTGGTACAACTTCCACAGTAGCGTGATCAAAGAAGTGGGGTCCTGAAAGCTCTGTGTGTTTATCCAATCCTGAGTCTATCATCAAGCATGCACCTTGCAGACAAAAAGGTGACTACTCCTATAGGTCCTTTCTGTTTTTTTTTATTTTTATTTTTTCATTCTCTTCTGTCACTGAGTCACTATTTACTAAATCATTTAGTCACCTGCTTAAGACCCATTTAGAGTGGGACTTCATTAGGACTTAAACACATGGTTAAAGTTAAATATGTGCTTAAGTGTTGTCAACTCAGGGCTAGCACTGATTTAGCCCCATGACTGTTAGCAACAGTGGGCATGCCTCCCAATGGTCCTGAGTTTTGTGTGACTGTCCCACTTTGATGCCCAACACTCCTGTCCTGGTTGAAGTAGAATGCTTCCTGCATTCAGTGGTGCCTGATGCTGTATACACGTTGTTTACAATTGGCAGGGGAAAGGATAGGGAGGGCAGCAGCTTCAACTGCTCCTGGGTATACTCAGACTCCTCGGGTATGCTCACTAGCTGTGAGGGAGATCAGGAATGGGGAGTGATGCTGCTCCCGAGCAGGCTGGGCTGGATGATGGGGACTGAGCATGGCACAGGTGTGCAAGGTGCTGGGGCCAATGGCTACAGTGGGGATGGCCCCACAGGAATTGACTATGACCAGTTGTCCCGCTTTAGCCACTTGAAACACTGGGAGGTGCAACAGTGGGTGCCCTACCATAGATAGGCAGCCACTGCTGCTGCCACCACCACCACGTTTCTAGCTTGTCTAGATTAGGGAAAGTTCCCCTTTTGTCCTGGAGTTAAATTACACTGGTGCAAAATCCTTAGATTTGCTCTGAGCAGCGTTCTAGTACCTGCTAATTAAAATGGTGGTGGCAGGGTTTAATGACTGCGCATACCCGTGAGTTTAGATCTCAGCCTTCAATGTGTCCGGGGTGAGGTTTGCCTATGATATGTTTTCCAAGTGGGAGA